AAAAATCTCTCTTCCTAATAAAATATATTGATTTCTACTTTCTCATTCGTACAATAATTCTGCGTTAAAATTCTATTCTAATATTATAAAATAGTGTAATACAATCTATACTATATATAAAAACAAAATCCTAAAATTTTAACTTTCCGCCCAATTCCTATAAAATCTCTCTTCCTAATAAAATATATTGATTTCTACTTTCTCATTCGTACAATAATTATGCGTTAAAATTCTATTCTAATATTATAAAATAGTGTAATACAATCTATACTATTTATAAAAAACAAAATCCTCAAATTTTAACTTTCCGCCCAATTCCTAAAAAATCTCTCTTCCTAATAAAATATATTGATTTCTACTTTCTCGTTCGTACAATAATTCTGCGTTAAAATTGTATTCTAATATTATAAAATAAAATAGTGTAATACAATCTATACTTCTATACTATATATAAAAATAAAATCCTCAAATTTTAACTTCCCGCCCAATTCCTATAAAATCTCTCTTCCTAATAAAATATACTGATTTCTACTTTCTCATTCGTATAATAATTATGCGTTAAAATTCTATTCGAATATTATAAAATAGTGTAATACAATCTATACTATTTATAAAAAACAAAATCCTCAAATTTTAACTTCCCGCCCAATTCCTAAAAAATCTCTATTCCTAATAAAATAAATTGATTTCTAATTTCCCATTCGTACAATAATTCTATTTTATAATTCTATTCTAATATTATAAAATAGTGTAATACAATCTATACTATATATAAAAATAAAATCCTGAAATTTTAACTTCCCGCCCAATTGCTAAAAAATCTCTCTTCCTAATAAAATATATTGATTTCTACTTTCCCATTCGTACAATAATTCTGCGTTAAAATTCTATTCTAATATTATAAAATAGTGTAATACAATCTATACTATATATAAAAACAAAATCCTGAAATTTTAACTTTCCGCCCAATTCCTAAAAAATCTCTCTTCCTATAAAATATATTGATTCTACTTTCCATTCGTACAATAATTCTGCGTTAAAATTCTACTCTAATATTATAAATTATTGTAATACAATCTATACTATATATAAAAATAAAATCCTCAAATTTTAATTCCCGCCCAATTCCTATAAAATCTCTCTTCCTAATAAAATATACTGATTTCTACTTTCTCATTCGTACAATAATTATGCGTTAAAATTCTATTCGAATATTATAAAATAGTGTAATACAATCTATACTATTTATAAAAAACAAAATCCTCAAATTTTAACTTCCCGCCCAATTCCTAAAAAATCTCTCTTCCTAATAAAATATATTGATTTCTACTTTCTCATTCGTACAATAATTCTGCGTTAAAATTCTATTCTAATATTATAAAATAGTGTAATACAATCTATACTATATATAAAAACAAAATCCTAAAATTTTAACTTCCCGCCCAATTCCTAAAAAATCTCTCTTCCTAATAAAATATATTGATTTCTACTTTTTCATTCGTACAATAATTCTGCGTTAAAATTCTATTCTAATATTATAAAATAGTGTAATACAATCTATACTATATATAAAAACAAAATCCTCAAATTTTAACTTTCCGCCCAATTCCTAAAAAATCTCTCTTCCAAATAAAATATATTGATTTCTACTTTCCACATTCGTACAATAATTCTGCGTCAAAATTCTATTCTAATATTATAAAATAGTGTAATACAATCTATACTATATATAAAAACAAAATCCTCAAATTTTAACTTCCCGCCCAATTCCTAAAAAATCTCTCTTACTAATAAAATATATTGATTTCTACTTTCCAATTCGTACAATAATTCTGCGTTAAAATTCTATTCTAATATTATAAAATAGTGTATTACAATCTATACTATATATAAAAACAAAATCTTCAAATTTTAACTTTCCGCCCAATTCCTAAAAAATCTCTCTTCCTATAAAATATATTGATTTCTACTTTCACATTCGTACAATAATTCTGTGTTAAAATTCTATTCTAATATTATAAAATAGTGTAATACAATCTATACTATATATAAAAACAAAATCTTGAAATTTTAACGTCCCGCCCAATTCCTAAAAAATCTCTCTTCCTAATAAAATATATTGATTTCTACAATAATTCTGGGTTAAAATTTTATTGTAATATTATAAAATTGTGTAATACTATTCCTATTCTAATATATATCTATTTTATATATCAGTGTTGCAAAAATCGTGTCGCTGGCCGCGGCGAGGAAGGCCGGAATCGGCCTCCTCACCGGCCGCCTCGTCGGCTGAACCGGCCTTTAATTTTTTTATTTTTTTTTTTAAGTTGTAAAGTATCAAAAGTTCGGCACGGCATAACTTTTGACTCCGTTGTCCATTTTGGACAAATGTTTTTTTTTTAAATCGCGTATTTTTTCGAGAGTTAATGCCATTTTTGGTCCTAGACTTATTGGGGCATTGACACTTTTCATCCTCCATAATAAAAATTGCCACTTAGTAGCCACTGTTATTGATCGTTGGATAGTTTTGATCCTCCGTCAATGACGCCGTTTGTTGACCGTGAATTAGAAGGGTTTTTCTGTCTTTTTATGTTCTAATCCTTGTATTTCTCCATCCATTGGTCACTGCTACATCCATTTCTTCAAACTGAGGTTATCAGCTTCAGTCCTTTCTAACATTAAGAAACCATCTTCACCCAACTAATAATCACGAATTTTACATTTGACATCAATCTTAAGATGATGGAAACAAGTGCAGTTGGAATAGAAAGGGCGTTAGTCCATGCCTGTGGAAATTTTGTCGAGCATAAAGCATAACTAGAAAAGTCTGGAATATCACCCAACCCCTCCCTTAACCTTTCTGCATCAACTATAATAGGTATGCCCCTACTCTTTGCCTCCTGCACTACAATCAAAACAGTCTCATGCAGCCTTCCATCTAAGTAGACAATATTTACTCCAAGCACTGAAGACAATTTTGATTTGGGTATGTAAACCCTCAGATATCATGGGTGGATATCCTGGAGTGAAAATGCACGTGCGAGTTTTTTTTTTTTTTTTTTTTTTTTTTTTTTTTTTTTTTTTTTTTTTGTCAACAATGACATATGTGAATGGTGAGTTTCCTCCTTTGGACACCACTATAAAAGATGTATCAACACCATCCCTTTCAAGCTCATCACGTATTTTTTCGCCATGCGAGTCATCAACAACCTTAGATATGATCCTTGGATTAAGACCAAGACGAATTTTATCATCCGGGTTTTATCAAAGCATTGCCAGTATTACCACCTCCTTGAACCTCAAAGCTGGTGCTCCGAATTTTATCATCCGGGTTGGGGAATGAAGCTACAGCAGCCAGGAAGTCAACACCGGCCATTCCAGCACCTCAGACAATGCGATTTTTGGGGAGCGGCGGATTCCACATTTTCAGCTTGAAACTTCAATGAATTTCAGGTAGAATAACAGAGTTTTTGAGGTTGTGCACCAAGTAGTTGTGGTCAGAGAGAGAGAGAGAGAGATGGGAAGGATATTTGTGGTCAATATGGAAGGGAGGACTTACAGGTGCAAATTCTACATCACGTCATCTACAACTACAACTGCTATTTACCATAGGAGGGTTCGCCGACCTGCTGCCCTTTCTGCTTCGCCGGAACCAAAAACCACCGGTGAAGGCCCCAACCTCGCCGGATCTGTTGCTGCACCGCCAGATCTGCCTTACTGGTCCGTCGCCGGAAGGAGTTACTGCCTCGTATGCTCGCCGCCGTACCCACAACTCGCCGGAGAAGAACCTCGCTGCTACTCACTACCGACGGTTACTACTTAGCCACCAAGTCTCGCCATCTCGCCTCACAGGAGTCACAGCAGCGCTGGTCTAAACAATATTAGAAGAATAAGACATAAAAGCCCTTCTAATTCACGGTCGACAAACAGCTTCATTGACGGAGGATCAAAACTGTCCAACGACCAATAACCGTGTCTACTAAGTGGCAATTTTTATTATGGAGGATGAAAAGTGTCAATGCCTCAATAAGTCTAGGACCAAAAATGACATTAACTCCGGAATACAATACAAGAATATTTAATTATGATTATATTATTATTGTGCCTCACGACCATTATATACTAACAGTACTTGAAAAGAAACTAATAATAATAATAATATAATAATAATAATTCCTTCAAAAAAAATATAATAATAATAATAATATAAGTGGTAATAATAATATCTAAAAGTAATTAAGTGTTAATAACAATAGTAAGAATATTAACGTAAGAGTTGTAACATAGAATAAATTGTAATAATTAATAACTATAGTCTAAGATTAAATTTGGAATTGTGAGGAAAGATAAACGACCTCTAGTGAAATTAACTCTTAAATAATTATATATCGATTTAAATATTCTTAATATATTACAACAATTCCATTCCGTGCATCGCACGGGTGAAAATACTAGTAATAATAATAATAATAATAATTGTTTTAATAATAAATTTTTAAAAAATATAGATGTATTTTGGGGAAATCATTCTAAAAAACGCTGAGTGAAAAATATTGTAAATTGCAATGTTTGTATTTTCAGTGGTTTGGAACAAATTGTTGCTTCAAACGGTTGAATAACCAAAATATTTTTTTTAGCATTTTGATATTTGGGTTACATCATATTTACCAATCGTTTAATATCTTTGGGTTGCATTATAATTAAAAAAAAAAAAAGGGTGAATCAACGATTTGGTCCCTCAGTTATTTGCGACTTGTCAATGTTGCCCCTCAATCGCGTATTCATCGATTTGGTCCCCGAAAATAATTGTTTTTCGTCAATTTAGTCCCTATGGCCGTATTCCGTCAAGACTCAGGCGAGATCTCCGATTTGCCCTGGGCATTTTGGTCTTTTCATGCCTTCTTCTTCATTAACTCTGACCAAGCTTCGCCGGAGAAGCTCAAGCTCGCCGGAGGGAGCTCCATCTCGACGAAAAACAATTATTTTCGGCTAGTTTACAGAGAAGGCATGCATTCATGATCTTCATCATGTTCATGGTGCAATCAGAACTCAAGCTTTTTGCACAAGTCCTTGTCAATGCTTATGACTTTTCTTGCGGTCTTCCTGGGAGCAGCTGGGCAAGTTTCAGCAATTCCACTTAAGAGCGGTGGAGAAGAAGGCGTGCTACCTCCATCAGAATCAGAAACTTGATTCGGGATCCCAGCAAGAAACTCTTCAGTATGTTTCGAAACAACAATTCGCAGCAGCATTCTGTACAATCTTCCCAACAGCTGTTCATCACTGGTCATAGCATCCACACTAGAATCATTCTCAGTACAGCCTTCGAAATTCAGCACACGGATACAGTCTTCGAAATTCAGCATACGGGCAACTGCAGTCTTTTTCAGACAAAGAGGCGACCGGAGAAGCTCTTCGGGTCCAGGAGCAAAAGGATCAAAGACACTCTCTTTCGGAGTGCGAGGACTGTCACCGCCATTTGAGGGAAGGATGCCATCCTGAGAACTGAAGCAAATAGCCTTGGGAGGGAAGGATGCCATCCTGAGAATTGACTCACGCCTTCTTCTTCATTAACTCTGACCAAGCTTCGCCAGAGAAGCTCAAGCTCGCCGGAGGGAGCTCCATCTCGACAAAAAACATTAGCATTGACAAGGACTTCTGCAAAAAGCTTGAGTTCTGATTGCACCATGAACATGATGAAGATGATGAATGCATCCCTTCTCTGTAAACTATCCGAAAATAATTGTTTTTCGTCGAGATGGAGCTTCCTCCGGCGAAGCTTGGTCAGAGTTAATGAAGAAGAAGGCGTGAAAAGACCAAAATGTCCAGGGCAAATCGGAGCTCTCACCTGAGTCTTGACGGAATACGGCCATAGGGACTAAATTGACGAAAAACAATTATTTTCGGAGACCAAATCGATGAATACGCGATTGAGGGGCAACATTGACAAATCGCAAATAACTGAGGGACCAAATCGTTGATTCACCTTAAAAAATAAAATAAAATTTCTACTACATCTAAATTCCTTAAATTAGAAATTTCTTTATCCATAATAATTTATTCAACAATAATGGTTGAACTAAATGAACACTGAGCAAAACACCTAAATGACTGGTACCGTTGATTCATCTATTGATCTTGTATCTATGTGCATTCATTAAATATATTAGAACCCTTTGCAACAAAAATACTTGGTTACTATTTAAAAAAAGTTTAGTAACAATTATAATGAATTTCCTATATTGCATTCATATACTATGAATTACATATTTAAATAAACAAATTAGACATTATTACTTATGTTGTTCAATTATTTATTTAATTATAAACATTGGGTAGACAAAATGACCATCAAATTATTAAATCAAATGATTAGTTCAGATTGTTCAAATTTTAATTTTTCCTTTAAATTTCATAATTTATCTTAATTATATGATTATCCGATCCGTTAACTTTTCCATTAAGTACCGTTAATTCGCTGTTAGACTAATTCTAATATTAAAGTCTAATATAGAATTATAACTACAACATTAATCTAATTCTAATATTAAAGTCTTAATAGAATTCTAACCACAAATCCTACCGTCTCGGAATCTTCTCAAACAATATTAGTATATAGTTAATATTTTATGTTTTAATTTTTATTTGTTCTCCCTTATGTCCCTATTTGGTTTCAACCATACCTAGAGGCGGACCTACAGTGGGGTCAGCTGCCCCCACTCACCCCACCCCCACCCCTTATATAACTTTTGTATGTATATGTGTATATATAGTACAAGTTTTAGTATAAGATTTAGAAAATAGAGATATGTTAACAAAGTGTAGCTTAGCCTGGTTGGTTGAGCGTGTGGTTTCTCTGAACTGCCTGAGTATTTGGTTTGTCCAAATGCATGCCAGGGTTTGAATCTCCTCTATTTACTTTCCACATCTCATTTTCTCATTATTTCACATTTTCACTATTATATTAATAATGAGATGAGATTTATAATTTATAATGTATCTTTTATTTGAATTATTTTATCAAATTGATTATGTTCATATTTTGTTATGAATATTTTTATAATATTTTGATGTGTTTTATAATTTTCTTATATCCAACATTATTTATTTATTTATGGCTATACTTTTTTAAGTGTTTCATTTTATTTTTTTTTTCTAATTATCAATTTTGCTTTAATATTTTGCCCCCGCTGAACAAAATTCCTGGGTTCGCCACTGACCATACCCATACAATTATTTCATTGACAATTATAATCAATATTGACTATATTATCTTGCATTTGTAAACTTAGAATTACCAATTTAAATACGCATATTCAACATTCAATTATCTATGCATGAACAATTTCAATATTTTTTTTGAATGTTGAACAATTTCAATATAATATTGCATTGATATACTTTAAAATACTTATTTAAGAAAAACATTGAGCATTATCCCAATCGCGCAATGCGCGTAAAAAAACTAGTAGCATAGATAGATGACAATAGGAATTGTATTAAACAATTTTATAATATTATAATAGAATTTTAACCCAGAATTATTGTACGAATGAGAAAGTAGAAATCAAAATATTTTATTAGGAAGAGAGATTTTTTAGGAATTGGGCGGGAAGTTAAAATTTCAGGATTTTGTTTTTATATATAGTATAGAATATAGATAGATGACAATAGGAATTGTATTAAACAATTTTATAATATTATAATAGAATTTTAACCCAGAATTATTGTACGAATGGGAAAGTAGAAATCAATATATTTTATTAGGAAGAGAGATTTTTTAGAAATTGGGAGTTTAGTTAAAATTTTAGGATTTTGTTTTTATATATAGTATAGATAGATGACAATAGTAATTGTATTACACAATTTTATAATATTATAATAGAATTTTAACCCAGAATTATTGTACGAATGGGAAACTAGAAATCAATATATTTTATTAGGAAGAAAGATTTTTTTGGAATTAGGAGGGAAGTTAAAATTTCAGGATTTTGTTTTTATATTTTGTAGGAATTGGGAGGAAAATTAAAATTTCAGGATTTTGTTTTATATATATATAGTATAGATGACAATAGGAATTGTATTACACAATTTTATAATATTATAATAGAATTTTAACCCCGAATTATTGTACGAATGGGAAAGTAGAGATCAATATATTTTATTAGGAAGAGAGATTTTTTAGGAACTGGGCATGAAGTTAAAATTTCATGATTTTATTTTTATATATAGTATAGATTAAAATTATGAAAAATAAAAATATGTTCATCAACATCAATTTTTCATAATATATTTCAAGTTAGAAAATGCATTGGTTCATTTTAACCCATAAATGTTAATGATAAATTAAATATAGGAAAAATTGTCATTTATGCACCTCCATAACATGTCAATTATCAATGTCACTCCTGAAATATTTGTGGTGTACTTGTGTAAATGTTGCCTATCAACTTTCAAAACGGTATATATATTATCCCTCTCGTTCGTATTGTACGGAAGGAAAATTGAGGGGCAACATTTACACTACGGGGAGACAATATATGTACCGTTTTGAAATTGAGGGAGAACATTTACACCACTAATAATTTAGGAGTGACATTGATAATTGGCATATTATGGAGGGGCATAAATTAAAATTTTTCATTAAATACAATATAAGATCAAGTGTGCAAACATGTGTATAGAACATCTGATTTAATTATTACTACGTAGTTGGTTAGAATTATAGATAATATTTAGGATGTGTTTGGTCGCAAATTATGCTGTGCAATCGTGTGCACCAGGTATGGTGCAATCGTGTGCACCAGGTATGGTGCACACGGTTGCAAAAACGACGTCGTTTTGACTAAAAACGCGCGTCCTACTTTAAAAAAAAAATAATCAGGTTCGATTCCCGGTAATAGCATTTTTTTGTGCATAATTTGAATTATATATCCACAAATTCATAACTATATATCCACAAATTCATAACTATATATTCACACATTCATAACTATATATCCACAGTGAATGAATAACACAATACCCAGAATGAATGAACTAAATATCCACCATGAATGAACTAAATATCCACAATAAATTAACTAAATATCCACAATGAATGAACTAAATATCCATAAATTCATAACTATATATCCACAAATTCATAACTATATATCCACAAATTCATAATTATATATCCACAAATTTATAACTATATATCCACAATAATTCATAACTATATATCCACAATAATGCTGTTGAGGGGAATCGAAACTGATTTTTTTTTTTTAAATGGGACGCGCATTTTTAGTCAAAACGACGTCGTTTTGCAATCGTTTGCACCATGCATGGTGCACACGGTTGCACAGCATAACTATGGGTGTTTGGTTGACAGGTTTAGCTCTAAGGAATGTGTATCAAAGTGATTGGTATTGTTTGGTTGATAGGTTTTTATAACACTACTATGAGTTTCAAATACCCCGTTAATTGAAAAATTCATACCCAAATAAAATAAGGGTATCATCCCCTTTTATTCCCTTATTCCTTCCCATCCTCTTTGATTAGTGTTTTTAAATTTTTGTTTTTACTTTTTTTTGTTCATATTGGTGTTTTGGATGTTTTAATATTAGAATCAATTGTCTTGATGTTGTGTTCTTGTATTTTTTAATTTCATTTTCTGTCATAGATTTATAGATGGCAATCCACTTTTAGTAATTTTTTATTAGAACATCCCCTTTTGATCATAGTATTATTGTGACATGACCAGTTTTGGTCCTCCACCAACAAAATCGTTGAAATTTTGTTAAATTCAAGAACATTTTGATCTTTTAATGCAAAATGTGTTGACCCATTATATTTTTTATGCTTATTTTTTTTTGAAAAAAAATCATAATTGAAGACCGAAAAGGCATTGGCTCTGTTTGGCAGAGCTTATTTATGAGCTTATAGCTTATTTTAAGCTACTAATAAGCTATAAGCTCTGTTTGGTAATGTTTCCAAAATAAACTCCTAGCTTAAATAAGAGCTTATTTTGGAACGCTACCTAAGGTAGCGTTTCAAAATAAGCTCATAGCTTCCTAACTTTTTGTCCATCTTTATCATTATTATTTTAAAGAAATAACATAATTTACCATTTCCAATTAAAACCCTTTTCTCTTCTCCTTTATCGGCAACTTTCACCGCAAATATTATTATTATTATTATTATTATTATTATTATTATTATTATTATTATTATTATAATAATAATAATAATAATAATAATAATAATAATAATAATAATAATAATAAATCCATTATAGGACCATACATAACCAAACAACATATTATTATAATAATAATAATAATAAATCCATTATACGACCATACATAACCAAACAACATTATTGATAATAATTATCATTCCGCCCTACTACCAAACATACAAAATACTTTCACTAAAACACATTACCATTACCAAGTATTTGATACCCATTCCGATTCCCAAGTGCGAACCAAACACATCATTAGTATTATTAGAAATTTAGTTTGAATAAATATTAGAACCCATCATAAAATAACTTAGACAAAAT